TTAAAATAGACTTAAGAGACATATTGACCAAGTACAGTGTGTGAACTTTATTTGCACGCTGATTCAAACAAACTGTAAAAAAAAAGTGTGGGTGTACAATTTGAACTATTTTGGTGATGTCTGGGATTTACTTCAAAATAACCTAGTAGGACTGAGAGGGAAAGTATAGAGGAAACAAGGTTGGCCACATGTTGGTAAGTGTTGAAGCAGAATAGTAGGCTTCAAAGGGGTTCATGATACTATTTTTATTTTTACATATATTTAAATTTTTCCATGATAATTTTTTTCCTCAATTCTTTTATGACTAGTCCAAATGTCATGACACGTGGATTCCAGAGGGAGTGAAGGACACCCAGTCACCCGCAGTACCGCCTCTGACCACAGGCCGGCTCCAAAACTCAACGTTTTTGAGACTTCCCTGGGGCGCTTCTGTGAATCAAGGTCATGGAGAATGACAGGACAGAACTCACCGCCTGCTTGCTCTTTATTAATTCACGGTGTGAAATGTGAAATGTGACTACCCAGTTCTTACTACCTAGTATGTCCGCCAGGCAGGAAGCCTATTATAAGCAGAATAATCCCCCAAATTTAGAGCCGCTGGAGCCCCAAATCTATCATCCTTGCACCTCTCCCTTTTCTTGCTTACCCACAACCCCATGTTCAGACCTTCTTATCTTGGTTCCTTCCATTTCACTCCACCTTCCTGATCCCACCCAGGTCCAATCTTGTCCTATCCTCCCTGGATAACTCTATGGCTTCTTCACTAGCCTTCTGCTTAAAACCTTCTTAAAATCCATTCTCCATGTTGCAACCAAAGTCATTTTCCAGAATGCTAGTCTGGCCATGTCCCTCCCTCCCATGGATGCGAGGCCAGACATGATCTGACTCATCTCTCCTGACCCTGATCTTTTCTTCCTCTTCCATTGCTAGGCTTCAGACACACTAACTTCTATTCTGTTCAACAAACTGGGCCTGTTCTCACCCAAAGACTTTGGCACTTGCTGATCCTCCACCTGAAATACTCTTTCCCTACATTTTCAATCAGCTGATTCCTTTTCATTCTCCACCCACCCCACCCCCCGCCCCACCCAGGACCTCACTTCACAAAAGCCAGTCCGGGTCTTTGCTCACTCTCATCTTCTGACAGTGCTCCCTTCCTCCGTGAACAGTCAGATTTGATAAACTGTTACTGGGGGAACTCAGCTCTGAAAACCTGGGCTTTCTATCTCCAGGACAAAAGGCATGTAAGTTACAGAGGGAACAAGAGCAGGAGGAGCCCTTCAGTCCTTGCATCTTGTTTGTGCTAAGAATGTTTCCACGCGTGCTACGCTGTAATTTCCATGTTGGAGAGTACAGGAAGCCCCCTCTCCTTGTACTTTAGATGTCATCGCTGTTACTCATTTTGAGAGTGTCCTAGTGATGTGCTCTCCCTAGTGAAAATCTCAAGGGAGAGACGCAACTGAGTCTACTGTACTGGATGAGTTTCCCTGTCCCACTTAGCATGGAAGATGTTTGAAAATATTTTCAGAACTTTGAGATGGCTCAACAGTTAAAAGGGAGACACGCCCCTATATACCTGACAGCTGAGAGACCAGTGTGGATAATATTTTATTATCATCTAACTTTTTTTTTTTTGGAGGAAATAGAAACTTTGCTGAACCTCACTCTTTCTAAAAATAATTCCTCTGAAAAGTCTAAATGACTGCAATTTTTATTTTATGAGTTTTGGAGATCTTATCTCCATTATGAAGGGAACAAATGTGCTGACCTCCAAAGGGGTAGTTTTAAATGAAAATGTCATTACATGGTTTCAGTATATAGTAGTCTTACATTTAGGGACCCTCAATCCTAGAAATCATTCCTTCTTTTTATAAATCAACTTAATATCTCAATGGTAATACTGTGTAAGACCTGGAAGGAAAACTTTCAAAGGACTCATCATGTAAAACTTATAAAAATAATTCTGTTTATAGAAAAGTTGCAAAAATAATACAAAGAATCCCAATGTGCCTTCATCAAGACCACGTTTGTCAGTTCATGTATTGCTACAGAAACACATTTTTTTCTAAACCATTTGAGAATAAATTACAGACGCAATGCCACTTTATCCCTAAACACTTCAGTGCATGTTTCCTAACAAGAACATTTGCTTCTATTAAGGTGGTAGAATTATTTTTAAAAATCAGGAAATTAACACATTTCAATACTATTTATTATCTAAACTAGAGCTCTTATTCAAATTTTGCCAATTGTTCTACTACAGTCTTTTATAATTAAAGAAATATGTTTTTTTCTGGTCCAGATCCATTAGGATAACACATGAAATCTGTCATGTTAAAATTGTCATGTCTCTCTACCCCCCCTTAATCTGGATGTGTTCCTGTCTTTGTCTTTCACGACCTGAGGAAACATCTTTTGACTATCTGAATTTTTTCACGCACTGGTTTAGAAAAAGGAAATCCATTTATTACTTTGTGCTCCTGGGAGAGAGAAATGCATTTCCTCTCAATTTTGGCCACATTTCCTGAAACAAAGATTAAGAGCAAATGACCCATTTTCAAAGAGCCCTTCCTTGATCAGCATTATTCTATCATTTCCCTTCAATATTTGTATTTACAGCTGCTCTCTCTACGAAGCACACCGGTATCTTTCCCTGTCCCCTTCCACCAGGCACATTTTCCTTGCTTCTCTCTTTCTCTTGAGCTTTAAGTCTCTTCTTTTGTTTCTCTACCTTGTTTCCTGAGCCCATTTCTTCTACAGCTCACTTCTTCTACCTCTATGACTAACTAAATAAACATTTTCTTATAGGTTGAAAAAAATAATTTACAGCATATATTACCATGCAGATTTGTTTGTATGTTTGTTGTCTGTCTTCCTGACTCGACGGTAAACTTCATGGAGATAGACTTCCATCTTATTCCTTAACAACAAGAGCCCAACACAGTGCCTGGCACTTACTAGCTGGCCAATAAATATTTGTTGAATGAATACATAGTAAGTCAGAAATGTCTCTTAGACTTGTAGTCTAGACCAGCTTAAAAGCACTGAGATCCGGAGTGGGGAGAGAGAGATGGTTCTTCTGGAACAAGGAGGTCCCCATGAGACTGGGATTGGATTCTGAGCAGTAATTGTGGATGAGAACTTTCCATTCTTCAGGGATACCCATCAAGGCCCAAAGGTTAGTGAGGTGGCCGATAGTAAGAAGTTCTTGAACTGCAGCTGAACAAAGTCAGGTATCCCATGTCACTGGACAGGGACTGGGATCAAGGCGGGTCTGCCCCAGCAGACTTTGTGGGTTCTTGACTTCATCTAAGAAAGATTTCATGACATGATTCCAGGTGATTTTGAGAGTACACTTATTAAAGCCGGGGGCAGTGAAACAAAGGAAATGCTGAAGATAGAAGAGGCAAGGTTACTGCCACAGTAGTGAGCCCAGACTGAGATGCCTAGATTCAGGAAAGGAAGTCACAACTACAGAAGTGAGCCAGCTGGGCTGCGTCGACTCAGGAAACAAGTTACAGAGGCAAAAGGAGAGTCCTTAGAAATAGGTTCAGGAGGTTAGCCCTGGATGAGCTGTTGCTGCCTGCTGCTCCTCTGGTTGCAAGCCTTGTGGGGACCCTTAGAGTTTAGGAGGAAAAAAGTACATGCCTGAAAGAGAGAGACCAAGAGTGCACTGGGCCCAGAGTTTTAGGGGTGAGTGTCTCAACAGGGTATTTAATAGCTTTCCAGGTATGTTCTTTAATATGTTGATGCATTAAAATGAGGTTACAGGGCAGTTTGGGATCATTCTCTGGTCAGCTACACTGCTTTACTTTTATCTTGGATTTGTCTGGCTCTAATTGGGCACTATTGTTATTTCCCTAAATTCATCCATCCTGGGGTTTGGCTAGCACTAATGAGATCAACTGGGTCTCTGTCCTCTATCTCCCTGACCAGGGTGATTCAAGCTACTCACTCTCTGGTTGGGGAGGAGAGATATAAACTATATGCCCCTAAGTATCCTTGCTTAGGGAAGATAAAATCTTGCAATTTATTAGCAGCTTGTTATTGCTTGGCTTTGTTTAATTATTTGTCTCAGTTTCCTTCATTCCACTTGCCAGGGAACTTTCCTAACTTCTTACTATTCTGCCTCATCCACACCTCAAGGAGCTAAAGAAATCAGAGTCGAGTCTGCCTAGCCCACCCCCACGCCATCCCCACCCCTTGCCTCCTAGAGACGCTGGGTACTATTTCCTTCCTCCACTCCCCTCCTCCCTGCTATTTTTCCAGGCAGCCTCTACTTTCTTCCCAAAACACCTCTCTTCCACATTCTAGTTCAAGACAGCTGGCCGTTTTCTACACTCCGCAAATCCCTCGCCAACTGAGCAAAATTGTCGTGGGAGTTGGTTGCGGGGAAACCGGAATCAGGAAGGTTCAGGTCTGGGGGTCCTCGGACAACCAGGGGCTCCGTGACAATAAGCGACAGCCGGACCACGTAGGGACATCCACCTCTCCGCATTGGGTTCCCTTCCTCTCGTATGACCAGGGCAGTGTTAAGCTAGAGGAATGCGGAGGTGTGAAGGGGAGAGGGTGTCCATGCCTGGGAATGGCGGCGCCCTAAGTCCGGCGAGGCGATGACAGAGGTCTGCGGCGAGCAACTCTTACGCGGACGGTCATCCTGGGCAACATAGCCAGGGCTGGGGGTAGGGGGCCGAGCCGCTCCCGGAGTGGACAACGGAGAGAAAGGGGTGTACCCGGCTAGGGCAGGGCGGGTTTCCGCTCGGCGGCCCCGCGTGGTTAGGTTCGGCAGTGCCGCACTGCACAGTCACAGATGGCTCGTCTGAGCACGGGGAACAGGCTCGCAGTGGGCAACCTGCTGGGACCACCCCCAGCGGAGCCCAGATCTGTGTTCTCTGGGCGGCTCACACCGCCTCGAAAATGTACTGCTCTCGCGAGATTTTCAAAGATCTGTTCCAAGCGCGCCCTCCTACGCGGTTGCCGAGGCAACTGGGCAGCGCCAGCGGGAAAGAGGCGGAAGAATTTTTGCCTGCTTTCCTGGGGGACTTCAGAGGTGGCCATCCTTGAGCTTCCAGCCCTAGAAACCTCAGCCTCTGCACCAGGTGGTGCCTCTGCCTCTCGGGGCCATGGGCCAGATCTCAGGACTCGTGCCCTCTCGTTTCCTGACGCTCCTGGCGCATCTGGTGGTCGTCATCACCTTATTCTGGTCCCGGGTAAGACCCACGACCCCCCTCCCCCCGTTCGCATTCCCACTTCGGGGTGGTCCCAGCCCAACCTGCCTCGTTCCTCAAGACCTGACCCAGTCGGGTCCTCCCATCCCCCTCCTCCCACCCCTCTTTCACTGTTTTTTCTTTCTGCCCGTCTTGCTCTCCAGGACAGCAACATCAAGGCCTGCCTGCCACTCACGTTCACCCCCGAGGAGTATGAGAAGCAGGACACTCAGTGAGCACTCGGGGTGGGGAGCGGGGGTGGGGGGTGGAGTGGGGAGGGGGGGTCAGAATTAAGTAGTAGTGCGAGTGGGGAGGTCTTAGAAGTCCAGAAGGCCTGAGCCAACTCCCTTCCTCTCTGCAGGCTGGTGGCAGCGCTCTCTGTCACCCTGGGCCTCTTTGCAGTGGAGCTGACCGGTTTCTTCTCAGGAGTTTCCATGTTCAACAGTACCCAGAGCCTTCTCTGTATCCTTTCTGCCTGCGCACCTTTCCCACAAGGCCCACTTCCTTCACGTCTCCCTTCAGCCACCTAACTAGCACTTTGGGGCACAATAGTGTCCGCCCTTGAAGGCAAAGAGAATCTTGCTCCAAGTTGAAAGATCTTCTTAGGCAATGCAGATTTATTACAATGTGAGGCCATTTGTTATCCCCTGCTATGCACTGCAGGTCCCAAAATGGGATAAAAACACAGCTTTTTACCTCGAGGAGGAAGCCGACCCTGTAATTCAGTGTGATAAGCACTGTACAGTAGGAGTGTGTGAAGATACAGAACACTGTGGGAACTCAGAAAAGGCAGAGGAAGGGAGGAAGATGGATCAGGGAAGACCAAGAGCACGAGGGTGCTGGAGGGTGATTCCAGCAGAATGTATGAAGTCACTGTGAGCATTCTTGTGTGGCCTGGGGTAGATGGGGAGCCTATTCCTACCTCAACTGAAGGGTCCAGGCTGGCCCCTAGATATGGGATGGGTGTAGCCTGGGGTCCCAGCTGTACAGGCTCAGCTCTGGCCTCTACTTACATGGCTATCCAAAAAATCGTAAGGCAGGGCTGCTGGCTCTGGCATTTGCGGTTGTCGCAGGAGCAAGAAGGGAACCTGAGCGCAGATGCCAGCCCCACCACTGGCCTTTTCTGGCCCATCACTACTAACCTAAGGCTTTCCTTGACTCAGGTGTGTTCCCAAGCCATCGGAGCTCACTGTAGTGCATCTGTGGTCCTATCCTTTTTCATATTTGAACGTTGGGAGTGCACCACGTACTGGTACATTTTTGTCTTCTGCAGGTACAGTAATATCCAATGTTTGGGGATGGGGAGACAGGTTTACTCTAAATCTGAAGGTTTCCCCTACCCTGCCCTTTATTCCACCAGATCCACTTAAGCTCCTGAAGTCTTTTGAAATCCTGCTCCATGTATACTTTGGAGTGGGTCTCTGGTTTGGGGATTTGGCTGTTTTTATTGGAAGGGTCCCTAAACTCACCACCTACCTTCCACAGTGCCCTCCCAGCTGTCACTGAAGTGGCATTATTCATCAGTGTCTTTGGGCTGAAAAAGAAACCTTTCTGATTACTTTCATGGGAACATAGGAAGAAAGACTGGAGGAGCAAGGGACCAGTCACCATTCCTGGAAGGAGGAAACCCCCCTAAAACTGCATTTGGTGGAGGATTTTAGTGTTAATTATTAATTATCTGTCCAGTCTGGGATTACCCACGTTTTATTTAGTGCTTTGTAATGAAATCAATTTTAGAGGAACATCAAAACTTACAAAAATTTAAGGGGAGAATTGGGGTAGTTCAAATTAGTGGAGAAATGGAAGGCTCTTTTCCAGCCTTACAAGACTATAATATGTGTCTCTTTTATTTTGGTTATTACGGTAGAAGTCTGGCGGAATAGAGTGGGCGGAGATATGTAAATAAATAGTGCTGATGGTTGGGACTGCATACTCGTGAATGGAGCATTCTGGGAGGAAGTATCTTATCCCTTCTTCAGGCAAGTGGGAAAAAACCTGTTTTTGAAAGACTGCAAATAAATGTAGCAACAGAAAAGGAAGAATCTAAATAATTTTAGATAGGTGAGGGTACACGTTATTTACTCACCCTAGCTTACAGCGGAATGCTTTTCATGGAGTTTGGGCTGCCCCAATATATTAAGTTATCGTCAGGTAGGATAATCCTTACCTGTTTCTCCTTTATTGGAGAACAGATTAGAACATGATGATTGGAGTTCGCATGATTCGTGATTAACGTCTCTGCGTAATCAGGACTTGCAACACCCTGATTGCTCCTATCTGATTCTTCCTGACGATCTTTAACTTTTTTTCCCTGCTTTGATGCATAATGATAGGCTTTATTCTAGTATTGCATGTGTTTACTGGATTTAACCACAGAATTGCTAGTCGTGCTTGTTAATCTGTTTTCTTGACTTTGGGTGTCCTGTTAATAGGAATGGTGGTTTTTTTTTTTCCAGTTAATTCAGCTGATAGAGAATGTCAGGTGTTTTTCCAAAGTGTTAATTGCTAGAGTTTTATACGTGTGTGTATAAGGTTTTTTGGTATATATTTAATTTAAAAAACTTACGGAAACAGCTATTTTATGATCTTTGGTTTTGTATACAGTGATCGTTAATGTTGGTCATACTTGGTGTCACAAATGGCCTATTGTCAAACCTATCTCAGTATGGCAAGAAGGACCACCTGTTCAGGGGGCCCTTGCATGGTGGTTGGAGCTCCCACCCGAAGCCTGCCAGACCTATTGTCCCCAGGTGAACACCTCCCCTCCTCTGCCTGCTAACACATGACAATAACATGTTTAAAAGAAAGTTATTAAAACACATATACACTAAGAGTCTAAAGTTTTTTTAATTAATTTTTCCAAATACATTTGTTTCTGCCTTCCCCCCGCCACTAGAGTCTAAACTTCTAACCTGTCACAGGATGAATGTTCTCAGTCATGTTTCCTGGTATAAGGTGGAACCCAGGCCACTCTAAATAAGCTAAAGGCATCCAAGAAGATGCTTTCGGGTGTTGCCTCTCAGGTAATGTCTCACACATCTAACCATTCTTTCTCTGACCATATATTTCTCCTCCTGGCAGCCTTTCACCCTGAGCATTCATTCTATGAATACTTACTGAGCACTTGCTATGTGCAGTGCACTGTAGTAGTTACTAAGGGAACCCATGTGAATATGACCCATACTCAGCCTCCGCTATCACAGCTATTATGACACATAGAGACAGAAAAGAAACAATTTCCGATACTTCCAGAGTAATTTAATAGCAACTTGTGATAAGTGCTGCAAAGGAGATTTACACATGCTATGGAGCAGGAATTAATTTGCCCAAGGGGGCAATTTGAGTGAGGTCCTGGAGTGTGGCTAGTGCAGAGAAGTAGGGGAGCAGATTCTGAGGAAAGGCAAGGGAGGTGGACATTGCTGGCAATGGTTAGAAACATGACCAGGAAAGTCATATCCCACTCCAGTCTGGCTTTCATCCCCCACCCAGAGATGTGTTCTAATGATTTGTGAAAGCTAATTTTTTTGTTTCACAGAAAATTTGTAAACCAGTTGTTAAATGCAACTATTAACAAAAATTAAATTATGTAAATTTACAATTAAATAAATTATACTTAAAAACAGGTACACCCGGCTGGTGTGGCTCAATGGACTGAGTGCAGGCCTGTGAACCTCAGGGTCGCTAGTTTGATTCCCAGTCAGAGGACATACCTGGGTTGCAGGCAGGGCTCCCAGTAAGGGGCGCGCTAGAGGCGACCACACATTGATGTTTCCCTCTTTCTCCCTCCCTTCCCCTCTCTCTAAAAATAAATAAAATCTAAAAATATAAATAAGTAAATAAAAATAAAAACGTTATACTCAAAATTCATTACTTTCTGTTCATTTTACATTTTACTATTATATGCTCTTAAGGTTATTTATATTTATTGTATCTGTATGGTAGAGATACTATATAATGTTATACTACTATATATCTCTTCTGAACTCAAACATTTAGTTGATAGCTTGAAATTGGCCTTGGTGGGAGTATTTTAAACCACAGAAATGAGCAAACACAACATATACTTTGTTGATTGTGTAGATTTAGGAAGGGGGTGGAGAAAATGTTAATAATAAAGATTCTATTTAGAAGTTTCATGTCTGTAACTGTTGCATTGTGAATAGCACAAAAAAGGGAGGAAATATTCTCTTGGGATTTGTAAATTATCAGATTCGTCCAGTGTTTTCTCATGTTCAGATTGAGTTTATGCATTTTGGACAAAAATACCAAAGGAGTCACTCAAGTCATTGAGGAACCAGAGGTTTCAACATATCTTCATTATGTCACTTTCGTCTTACTTGAAAATGTGAATAAACATATCAATCAGTATTCATGTTGGAACTACACTTATAGTTAGGTTACAACTCGATTTATGAAATCGTGGATACAAGAGTGGAATTTATTATTAAAAATATTGTATGTTTTATTATTTAAGCATTGTTACATATCCATTATATCAGCAAAGTTTATAATAAATGTATGTGTACACATAAATGGATACATTTTTGGAGAGTTGGTCATTAAACATTTGCCAGCACACTCCTGCCCCTACTCCCGAAGCAACTGCTCGTCGTCGACTCCCTTGTTCCTAAAACCAGAGGTCACTTCTCAGACTTTCGCTTGCTCTCTTTTCAGCATCTATTCACTACTCTTCTCTTTTAAAAATTTTTTCTCCGTTGGCTTCTGAAAAGTGGTTCCCCTAGTTTATCTCCCACTATTCTGACTGCTGCTTCTCAGACTTACCCAACGAATACTGAGTGAGGACCTGCAGTGTGTCAGTCACTGGGGACATACTACTGGGTTGTCTCCTTTGCTTGCCCCTTAAATGCTGGTGGTCACTACTTCTTGGGTGACTTCACCCACCTTGTCTTCAGACGCCAATCAGTTGCTGCTGGTTTCCAAGCCTTGGCTCTCTTCTGTGAACTCTAGCCCAGGGCAAAGGCTACGGGAGCAAGCTGTGGAGCCAATCCTGGGTTCAAAGTGCGCCCTCTACCCTTCTTGGCTGTGTGAGCAGCAACACACTTAACCCTTCTGAGACTCGATTCTGCATCCACACTCCAGAAGTAGCTACTACAAGCACTTTCAACTATTTGCTTTTTAGTCAGCACCAAAGGCTTTGCCAATTAGCATCAGAAATAAGTTTCCTTTTGTGTGTGTGAGTGTGTGAAATTAGTAGCTTGTTAATCAGCATCAGCCAGTCACAAAAAGACAAATTCTGCTTGGTTGTACTTATATATGGTACCAAAATTAGTCAAATTCATAAAGACAGTAGAAGGGTGGCTGCCAGGGGCTGGGGGAAGGAGGGGATGGAGAGAGTGTTTAAGGGGGACCAAGTTTCAGTTTTGCAAGAGAGTTTTGAAAAGAGTTCTGGAGACTGGTTGCACAGTAATGCAAATGTACTTAACACTACTGCACTGCACACTTACAGTAAATTTTGTGATGTGTTTTTTTACTTCAATTTTACAAATAGATAATTAAAAAAATAAAATATCAGTGGTAAAAAGTGCGATTAGTCAATAAAATAACTCGGTAACCATCTGGGGGAATGACTCAATATCTTACACAAATTTTAGATACATCAGAGATTACAATATAAAAAATAAAACCACGAACTCCAAGAAATCATTTTTGACCTTATTTTGAAGAATTTTAGACCCACACAAAAACTGCAAAAATGATACGTAGTTCCTGTATACCCTTCACCCAGTTCTCCAAATGTTAACATCTTGCATAGCCATGATATAATTATTGAAATCAGGAAATCAGTATTGATACAATACTATTAACTAATCTATAGTTTTTATTTAAATTTTGCCAGTTTTCCAACTAATGCCCTTTTGTTGTTCAGAATCTAATCCATGGTTTCACATTGGATTTAGTTGCCATGTCTCTTTAGCCTTTTCTAATCTGAGACTGAGTTCCTCAGTCTTTCTGTTTTTCCTTCACATACTTGACGAATACTGGTGAGTTATTTTGCAGAATATCCCTCTGTTTGGATTTGTCCAGTGTTTTCTCATGCTTAGATTGAGGTCATATATTTTGAGCAAGAATACAACAGAAGTAGTTTGAAATGAGGGAGACATTTCTAAGTATAACAAAACAAATCATAAAAGAGAAGATAGACATTCAAATACATATTAAGATGTATACATGGAAAAAGTTAAAAGATAGATTACATTCGAGGGAAACTATTTCATATTGCAGAGGAAGGGCTAATTTTGATACATAAATATCTCCTACACATCTATAAACCACCCAATTAAAAATGTACAAAAATATGTATAGACATTTTACAGAAAAGGAAACAACTCTCAAATATATGGAAAGATGCCTAAACTCATTCACCATAGGAAAAATGCAAATCATGTTTAACATATTTGTAATAACTAAAAAGTTTCACAGAAAGTTGGAAAGGGTATGGATTTAAGTAAACAGCCCTCACCTGTTTGTTGGTGGGAGTAAGAACCGGTAACATCCACAAAGTGCAATTTGGCAACATCCATCAAAATCAATAAAAATCACAAATACCATACCCTTTGACCTAAGACTTTTACTTATAGAAATTAGCATATAGGTACAATGGGAATGTGTAGATTAGTTTTTGTAGCATTGCTTGTATTGGCAAAAGATTGGAAACAATCTAAATGTCCACAAGGGATTGGTTAAATTATGTCACAGTGTAATACTGTGCAGCCAGGAAAAAAGGCAAACTTTATACACTTATGGAATGATCTCCAAGTTACATGACTAAAGTAAGGCACAGAAGAATTCATATACTTTGATTCCCTTTGTGTGAAGAAATGGAAATCTATGTGCACAGAACATCTCTGGAAGGAGGCACAGAGAACTGGGAGGACTGGTTGTTGCGGGGCAGAAGCTGGGTGGCTAGGACACAGCGTCAGAGAGAGACTTTCTCTATACTCTTATAAACTTTTGGAATTTAAACTACATACAGTAAAGAAAACATACAAACTAATGACTTTTAAAAAGGAGATGAGCCAGCAGCTACTAATGTTCTGTTTGGACATGAAGCTAAACCAGAGGCCAGGAGAGCCAGAAAAGGGGAAAGAGATCCCTACTTGATACCTCGTATGCACCTGCATCCCGCTGTGCCCAGTTATGGTGTGTGAGCCCTCACATTCTTTTTGGCTTAAGTCTGTTTGAGCTGTTGTAACCATGCAGTAACTTCATTTCTTTAATATAAACCTTTCTCCTTTCTGCCTCTCCGCTGCTTCCCTTACTCATTAGACCCTTAGAACATCAGATTCTGGTCAGCATCAAACTGTCCTAAGAACAAAGCCTCAGGTCTGTTGACCACAGAAAGAGAGTTTCTTTCAAACTAGAGATAACATCTTGATTTCAGTTGTTTCGACCCCCAGACCCATGAAAATGCAATGATGCTACAAACCACACCCTCATGAAACCAGACAGAACAATGCCATGGCCGGCGTGAGGACCTGATACAATGATCGACTGCTCCCTACACTGGCCTCAACCAGCCAGTAGAGCCCAAGACCCCAACTCCTGTAGCTACCATGACTAATGATTTTTCCCCTCTATAACTCATCTCTTGGAAGCCATTGAGGAGCAAGGACTTTGAGCATGAGCTCACCTGTGACTCCCATAGTGGTGCCATTTTCTTAAAAATAAACCTTTACTTCCTTGGCTGCAAATACCCATTTGTGTTTGATTGGGCTTTGATGGGTGCAGGTAAATGAAGCCGTTTAGTCCAGTAATAAATACTGTGTTGGCAAATGTCTTTATTATGTTCATCAAAGATCTCATGAGGTGTTTTTTCTTCAGCATTATTGAGGTATAATTGATTCACTGTGTTTTAATAATCCCTTGTGCATTGTTGCAATTCCTGATGCTGGCAGAATGCTTCGTGTTGTGGAATGAAAGAGCCCTAGTTTAACAAAGGAGGGAAGCCCAAGGAGAAAGCCATTTGCTTCAGGACGTAATGCGGAGAGGGAGAGCTGGGACTAGAACCTCAGTCTCCTGGCTGTCAGGCCAAATCAGCCGACCCGTTATCACAAGAGTTCATTGAACACCCACTACCAGCAGGCTTTGGGCTTGGCAGCTGATATGGAAGGAAATAAGGAAAATGTGCCTTCTTGCCAACCACATCATCTAGAAGAGGACTTCTCCCTCACTCAAGTAGAGGAGCTTGTTAACCCCAGTGAATCTCTAATGAACAGAGGGTGAAGAGTCAGGGTGCAGGACCAGGAGGCATCCCCGTCTCCTAGTTCCCGGGGACTCTGACCTGCCTGTGTCTCGCCTTGCCCACACAGGGCTCTGGCATGTGGCTCCCCCACGGCCCACACCCACACCGTCCTGCTTCCTGGTGGCCTTGAGTGCTGGCCCGTCCTGTCCTGCTGCAGGGACAGGAGCTGGCTGCCTGGTCAAACTGGTCGCAAGTGGCCGGGGCTTCACCAGTCTAATTAGGGCTGTCCTCCCAGGAACACTGGACAACAGGTCCTGCCAAACCCATGCCCCCTGAACAGATGCCTGGGAGCCCACCATTGAGCCAATCTAAAATAAAAACCAAAGCATTTCTCTAAGCCTAGTTTTCTCTGAAGGCAAAACCAAGGTTATACCTGTCTCATAGGATTGAGGGTTGATTGATCGTGGCAGGTATTTACAGCAACATTCCTAAGAGCACTGTCGTAATAGCAAAACAAAACAAAAACCGGAAACCACCTAAAAGTCTGGCCCTTGAGGGACTGGTTAAATAAACTGTGGTAAAACTTTGGGTTAAACATGGAAGATCGGTCATGGACATTTGTCTTCTCTCCTTTCCAATGGTTAACTAAGTGACAGGAGAGGAGTCAAAGGAATGAAAATCTACACGGACTGAGAGACCAGGAGAGAAGACAGCAGCAAAGGATTTCGACCAGGTTTTGGAGGCTGGACAGCAGCCAAAGTGTGGTGACAAACCAAGCAGGGCAGAGGGAATCAGGAGGACACAATGCCTGAATATC